TTGATAACTAATTTTAATTCTTTTCAGGTCTGTCAAAAAAGTGATTAATACATGATTCAAACTGCAGAGAGCAGTTATTCCTAGAGGTGGTACTTGGGTGGTAGGCTGGAAGAACCAGGTGAATCTGTGGAGAGTGACTAGAAACTGACTGATGCTATAATAAAGCCAGTTCAGGCTGGCTATGACCAAGAACCTGGTCATTTTTTCCCCCCTGTAGTATGGGCACAAAGTCCTTTTCCAGGAAAGTAGAGGACCATGCACTGTTCTTCACTTACAACTCTTAAAACCCCATTGAGATAACTTAATTTACAAGTAAAATTAGATCCAACTAATTCTTATGCCATCTTTTGGCAGTTTGCAAGGAAATCAAAAGAAACACAATGCAACATTAGAACCATGTATGGCTTAAATTGTCTTGAAATGGTATATTAGAAGTGGAAAGGAAATCCTATTTAACTCAGTGATCACAATCATTTGCACAGCCTCATCATATTTCAGCTTACTCAGAATAAGCGATCTATAATTATTGTTTAAGTGCCTACAATCATATGTTCCCATGTAAATAGGTATAGGAACATAGATACATACAGTAGGATTGTTCGTATGGCTTGTTTATAAACAGCATTTTAGGCAGATCTATGCCACAGACTCAAATTACTACAGTTCTCTGAGGTAAGAACTACAATTTCCATGATGCTTTGAGGGAACCCATAGCATTATGTAAAAGTTTTCCAGTACTACACCAAATATCTACATTACAGACCTGCACTGCTAATATTGATCATAGCAATAGGCTATGAAAGTCTGTATTACAGATATTAATGTAACCATGGTCTTTTACACAATATTTTAAGGATAGCATATATTGCAGTATATTTGCAAAATAAAAAGAAATCCACTTACCATAATTCAGTCCTCTTTGTGTAATTCTTACCCTGACTTCAGGGTTAGCCTCAAGTTGAAAAACAAATAAACTTAAAATAATGGATCCCCACCAGAACCTCATCTTCCTTGCTCCCCTTTTGTTGAGTATTACCTGTTAAATATATTGTAAGTTACATTTGACATTAGCAAGAGTTCCAAACAAAGCCTGGTTTGCAAAAATAGAAATTGGACTATTGCTTAAATGGCAGTCTTATGACTTCAAATATATTTGCTTTTATAAGGAAATAATCTCCATTAAACTCATACTTCTGAATAGAAATGAATAGAATTGCACTACATGATATTTAAAATGTTTTCTCTCAGCTTTTTGGCACTTATAATAATATTCTATATAAATGCAATGATATCTGTATGCCAAATGGTATCTGATAGATTACTGAAATAAATGAGTAATATGTTACCAGGAAAATAATGGATGTGGAACAGAAAGACAAGGAAAAAGCATTGGTGAATTTCACACTGACTTGGCTGTGTTCACACAACATGCTTACCTTAGGTTACTTAAATATGGTTTACTCAACCCAGTTTTGTGAGTTTGCAGGACACATTGAACCATAAACTAACCTTGGTTGGCTTCACACAACATCATAAGTTAAAATGTGGAGGATTAGTTGGTGATTCAGTATATAGTCCCAAAACAGCCACAGATTGCCATCCTATGCATCCATATAGTGGAGTAAATTTCACTGAGCAAAGTGGTGACTAACCTCTGCCAGTTCAAGAGCTACAGAAATTTCTCTTGGTACATCATGCCTAAAGGTTAGTTGAACTATGTATAAACTATTAACTGCTTAGAGAAGATCTATACAACTTTGGATGGGAAGTTAAAAGACAATCACTCCCATCCTTAAATTTCATGAAGTATTGATTTCATGATCCTCATTCCAACAAATTCAGGTTTGTTAAAAGTGAAGTTTCAGCCATCATTCATTAGCTAATAGTGATTCAATATTTGGATCTAACACTATTAGGAACATTTTCACATGAGATTTCAAAAAGTCCATTGTGAGTCTCTCTTACACAATTTGTACGATATACAACAGCTGTAATATTTTCATCTTTTTAAAATATCTTCATTGTAAGTTTTTTTTTTAATAGAAAAACAGTTTAGAGTTCTATAGACAGTATATTAATTTCAATAGTTGGATGCAGGTTTAGTCATGAAATCAAAGGGACACTTTATCATAATTATCCCTGATTTCAACAGGTCTCCTTGAAGGAAAATAAAATCTGGTTTCAACTCACTGATGCAAAGCAAGTTAAGGACAGAAAAGAAGAACCAGGGACAGTATGCAGGATTAGAATCAAGGCACAGGATAATTATAATAATCTTCCAAGAAAAAGATTTTCTAACCCTTACCTCTTAAGACTCCCAGCTTTCTAAATTTCAAAGGCAGGAATATAAAAGAGAGCTTGTGGAGCAAATACTCTTTTCTGAGCACAATACTGCAAAATATGAGAACCCTCCATCCTATAAGCAGATGCAAACACTTCACTAGTTTTTTTTTTTTTTTTTATGTTGGCCTGACTGCTTTTTTGGGTGAGTGTGGTTTCATTGTTTGTGGTACAGGATGCACAATACAGAATCCTGGAACGGTCAGTTAGAAACGAGGACATGCCAGCTAAGTAAACTGAAACTCTATAGAAAACAACTGCTCAGAAATGTTGAAGCCTAAAAACTTCAAGACTCCTTGCCTAACCTCCAGTGTTTTCAATCCTTTAAAGCCCTTCATGGCTTGGGACCGGGTTACTTATGGGACTGTCTCTCCCCGGTCATTTCTACCCCGATCTGGCAGGAGGGGCATGTTCCAGGTGCCATCGGCTAACGAATATTGGCTGGTGGGGCCCAGAAGAAGAGCCTTTTCTGCCATGGAGCCTGCTTTTGGACCATCCTTCCCTCTGAGATCCGACTGGCCCCAACCCTGTCAGCCTTTCTCAAGGCCTTGAAAACCTGGGTTTAGGCCCGACCCTGGGACCCCATGTGTGTGACAGAACCCATCTACTCGCTATGTTGATGTGTTATGATGTTTGGCTGCTATGCATTTTATTGCTTGTATTGTATGCATTTTATTTATTTTTTTATTGTAAGCTGCCTAGAGTCACGTATGTGAGATGGACGGCTATATAAATTGATTAAAATAAATAGATAAATATTTACTTTTTTATGGAAAACATTACACTAGAACTTCAAAGCGAATTCTGCAATCCTGAGTCATTTGATTCCATGGCTGTATTCACACATGCTAAATCATAAGTTAGAGTTATGTAAACTATAATCACTGTTATCACAAGATGGCTCCATTAGATGCAGAGATACTGCCAGGTATGAGTGTACTAGGTAGAGACAAGTGTTAATTCTTCTACTCTGTTCTGTTTTAACCTGATACTTTTTTTTTTCTAGAGGGAAAGAAATAAACCCAGGTAGTCCCCAGGTTAAGAATGCCTGGGTTACAGACAACCCACAGTTAAGAACAGAGCCTATTGTAGCAAAATTCAAGTTAAATACATAATGATGCGAGTTATATACACAATGGTTCAAGTTCATTACACAATTCTATTTATGCAGCATTATACAATGATACTGTTCCAGCTTACGTACAAATTTGACTTAAGGACAGACCCTGGGAATGGAATTTGTTCTTAAACTGGGGACTACCGAGTTTAAGTAAGCAAGTTTAAGTATACAGTAACTGAGACCTCAGCAGACTTGAATGAGCAGCATATAAGATGTATACAAAAAGTGACTCCTTTCTCACATTAAGCTATCATGTGGTTTGTCTGGACTTAAGTGTATTATGTGAACTCGGGTAATTGTGGTCCATGCAAACCACAGCTCAGCATGAAGTGTGAATGATGTGTCAGTGGGTAAATATTCTTTGCCTCATCACCCAAAGGCCAGACTCCCATCTCTATGTGCAATATATGAGTAGCATCTAATTGTATATGGCTCTCCAGTTTCAGAGTGACAGCTAGAGGAGAATCAAAGCAAATGAATGTGTGTCTACTCCAGTGTAAATACCATTAGGACTTACTCCCACATATATGTGCATCAGGTTGCTGCTTAACCCACTTGGACTTGTCTGGATTTTTTTTTTTTTTTTTTGCTAAAATCAGAATAAAATAGAAGTGTGCCAACTCACACGCAAAGAACTGCTACATGTTATAATTAATCACACTTATACCTTTGTTTAGTGTATTTCTAATTGACTTGCTAGTTACTGTTTCAACTTACACTGTGGTCAGTGCCAAGTTTGTCTGATGGGAAAGACAAATAAATCCATGGTTTCACATCATTCAATATGTCCATCAATTTTAGTATGACAAAGGAGCATTATCACAGTGTGTTACTTTCAGCAATCCCCTGAGATGGGAGAACATTCCACCCCCTACCCCCCAGATGGATGTTCATTTAATCATTTTCACTGGGAAAGAAAAGCGGCATTATGCTGTGAAATGATTGTCCAATATGATATTGAACTGTGTGGTAGTGAATTGGAAATGCAGTAAAATCTAGGATGCTGCATAGGCACTGATATAATTGTTTAATTTAGATTGTTTAATAGGCAAACAATTGGGTTTGCAGGCATAGTAGTACCTTTGGGAAGTTTGTAGTGTTTAGTAATAAAATGAATCCAGGATCAGGGCTATGGTGTTAATTTAGTAGAGGTATGTTAATGATGATACACTTTTATATAGTGTTTTCAAACAGTCATAGGTTCATTAATATTATGCAACTTAACAATCTTAACAACAACCCCATAAACATGTCAGTGATCTGATTCACACATTGCACTGTCACAACTAGAGTTAAACATGCTTTATTGAATAAGCTATACTGTCTGAGTTCAAACAATAAACAAAACATAAAGCATGGTTTACAAACTAGAACTATAATGCTTCACATAATTGAATGAGAAGTACATAATTTTTCTGGACCAAGGGCCACAGTATGTTGAGGGCTCACTTGAGAAAAGTCACAGACAGGGCCAGAAGCAAAACTAAATTTGATTTGATTTACAGTTAAACTTAACATCATTAATATGCTACTAAAACCAAACAGACTACATGATGAGGTAACATGATAGATTATTCCAGTCAGTATTACTGTAAATGGTTGAAAACTAGCACTAAACCATTTTTTTTGTTATTGTTTTGGTTTCTAGTATTAATCCAGCCAATGGAATTTATAAATCATTTTTAAGGCTTTAATCTACAAGCCATTATGGCTTCTTTAATAAACCATGCTTAAAAGAAATGATGCTTGGCACAATATATAAACCCATCTCTATTTAATATAAAACAAATGAATATATTTCTGTATATGTATGTTCATGTATGTAAAGTGCTGGAGGGTAAGAATATATGCCAACCTTATCTGGGCTTGGGAGCCTAGCAGGGTCAGACCTAGTTAGTTTGTGGATGGGAGACCACCAAAACATCCCGGGGCTGTAGGCTAAGCTGGGAAGCAGAAAAAGCATCCTTGAGATAATGGAAACCGCTTCTGTGCTGCTGCCATAAAAATCATCTGGAAGTGTCCACAAAAGAACCAGCAACTGATCTTATCTGAAGGAGATTTTGCCATGTTAACAACATATGCATTGGACCATACTAAAGCTGCCATATTGTAAACATATTGTAAAGCAAGATCCTGCAGCCACTGATCAGTCCTTGCAAAAAATTCAGCCTTCCACATTCTGCTTAGTGCAGAGTAAAGATGCCCCACAACCACATGTAAAGGACAGGGATGTGTAGGGAGGGCTCGTAAGGCTTGGCCCCCGGGATAAAGAGTCCTATTCAGATTACGCCCGTTCGCCACCAGAAAAGCGCCAGATGAGAAGGACGCGGAAGTTATCAATCGAAGACAAACTTCCGTAGAGAGGAGGATGGTACGACGAGCACCAAATCATCGCTCAGCAGAGTCTGTTTCTAGTTCCTTCGACGAGCGCCGAATCATCGCTCAGCACAGTCACTTTCTGGCTCCCTTCGACCGCTGGGTAGAAGGCGGTTGCTTGGAGCGACGCGGCCGGTGAGAGGGGAGGGGCAAGCCGAGGGGAGAGCCCTGCGTCATGTCAAGGTCGCGAGGGTCAAGGAGGCGGGTCCTCGGTAGCCCAAACCCACCATAACAACGACGGCGATTCCCCGGAGCCGCGTCTTCGTTGCGGCCTCCTGTGCCGCCACCTTTGCGGAGGGGCCTCTGCGGCGCCGGGGGGAGGGAGCGCGGGGGAACGCCCGCAATTCGACGCCATGAAGCTCCGCGTACGGCTGCAGAGGCAGACGGCCCCGCTGGAGTTGCCAGAGGCGGAGCCACGGCTGGGGGATTTGCGTGCGCACCTTGGCCAAACCCTCTTGCCCGCTTGGGGTTACAGGTAGCGCGAGCGGAGCCGTCACGGAGGGAAAGGGATGTGCGGGCGGGGTCTTAGGGACGCTTCCCACCTCTGGGAGAGCCAGAGGGGTTACCTGAGTCGGAGAAGACTCGTGGTCTCGTTTCAGAAACATCCATTTTATGCTTTTATGGGGAGAAAACTTTCGAAGCAGTCCAAATGCTTCAGTTCGGTGGTGACAATGAACAGAGGCCGCAGATGACTTCACTGAAAATAAATAATTTGGGGATCCAAAGGATAATGTCATAATTATTACCTGGCGCAAAATAGGGAATATTAAAAGGAAGATTTCTTTGCCATTCTTTCCCTTGTTGACTAAACTATGTATTTACTGTATGTCTTAATAAGATTTGTCCCCAAGATAAGTTGCTTAACTTAAAACTTATTGGATTGGCCAGGTTTAGTACTGGGATGGGAGATTTCTGCAGAATACCGAAGGCCCTAGGCTACATGGGGAAAGGGGGGGGGGGACCTGGAGAAAGGCTGTAGCTAGCCACTTCCTATATTGCTGCCAAGAAAACTACATGAATGTGTCCATGAAGTTAATCAAGAAGTCAGGCTTGGCTTGAAGGAGGCTTTACTGTTACAATGTATAGCATTGAAGTGAATAGAATTTTAGGATTCTTGGCTTAATGATGGCACTTGCAGTATTGTTGACATTTATAGAATTATAAATTATGTAGAGTTGCTCCCATCCTTCACATACAATTTCTATGCAGAGGAATGCCTATGATAGTGAATTTTCTGAAAAAGCTGATGCATTTCAGGCTAGAAATGTTTTTGCTTGGTCAGAGCACTGAAGCTCAGTAACAGAAGAATAAATGCTTACATATCAGGAAATGTTCAGAGTTAAGGACTTTATCAAGGACTTGGTAATATATCCCCCGAATAGTTTCTCCAGTGATTATATTTTTCAGTCTTTTACACACTTCTCTATGTTGAAGTCTTGAGTTTTTGATAAAACAGTTTTACAGGACATATTGTTTAAGCAATGTAGTGTAGTGACTGGAGTGTTAGACCAGAGCTGGGGATGCTTGGATTCATTTTCTCCCTCCCTGCACCTAATGCCAAGTCATTATCTTTCAGTGTGGCCTAATATGCATAGCTGGGAAATTAGCTTATTAAGGGAAAAAATCCTTTTGCAAAATACTGTGGGGAATATGTACAAATTTTGATCTGGTTACTGGATATCTGCATATAGGGTGAATTTAGTTTCAATCTTACATAGTTCTCTGGCAAACCACTTTTCATTTCATGTGGCTTGATGGATAATTTAGAAGTGTTCATTGAACGGTGTGCATCTCCTGGACTGCTAACTTTCCAAATAGACTAATGCACCATTGGAGAATTAAGCAGCTGATTCAGTATGTTGAGAAATGAACCTTATTTTCTCAAATAAGTGTACATAGGATTGTATTTTTAGTTAACTAGTTGATCTGTAATCCTGAACCCATCTACCAAATGAAATGGAGTCCTGCTGTTCATAGGCACTCTCACTGAAGTGTTTGAGATTATGTTGTTATTGCTAGAATCAAACTTTTTCTATCCTATTGAGAAGGGATACATTATACTGTAGATGAAAGCTTAGTCCTTATGAAACTGAAAGTCAAGTGTAAGATTACATGTTCAGTTTCACTTACGGCCTAGAGCTACAATAGAAACCAAGGTGATACAGTTATTATACCATGGAAAGTATGTGATTTATTAAAGTAGTAGTATGAACACATCAAACTACCTGTCAAATGACTTAATTTAATTTATTCAACTTAATATGACTGCCCACTCCAGAAGACTCTGGGTGGCTTACAAATCCATTAAAAAAAGAAGAAAACAGTTAAAACCCACAAAAACAGGCAGCTTGAACTAAAACAACAAAT